GTCAGATAAAACTTACTCCTACTGCAACAACTTTTAAGTGGTAACATTAGTACTGCAGAGAAAAATTAGCTAAGAAGATAAAATTAGACAAAGTATGAGATATTAAATGACAAAAAAAAGTAAGATCAATTAAGAATGAAATACATACTTGAGGCAAAATTAAGCTTGTTGGACATGCAAAAAATGATTTGGTACACAGCTAGAGGATGGTAGTTTGAGATTTAAGTAATAACTTGATTGTCTTTTCTATCATCTAAATTTTCAGCAGCTCTCTGAATTATTTCCATCATGAACTATAGGGCAAGCAGCTCCGGGATGTAGATATTGCCATCTAGTAACTTCATCAAGTGACTCACAATATGAAAGTTCTATAGCTCATCAGGCATCCATCTATCTTCAGCATACTAATTTTCCTTTCAAATGTCAATGTACAGCTTTTAGCTATCTAAAAGCATGATAACAATCTGTAGAGTATAAAGCCCTTTTAAAGCTTGGTTTGCTCTTGAACTTCAAAAGGTACTCTGAACTACAAAGCAAGAAAAATCTCATATTGGTCACAGGAAGTTTTATTAATATTTACTAATTTTAAAATTTTGTTTATTAAAATCAATCAATTTAATTTAAAAATAAGTTCAAATTAATTCATCAAATAACTCCTCAATTAAAAGTATTTCCTTTTAATAAAGTAGAAAGCATTTTATGTAGATCTATGCCTTTTATTTTACTGAAAGCTTAATAAAGTCTTTTAATAAGTAGTGCAAACCTTTCAGTAACTTAAAATATGAAGTAATAATCCATGCCGATTACCAAAGATGCCTGATAGTAAAAGTCAAGGAGTTATCCCAGTGTAACTTACAACTTATCTTGCATTTCTGCTTAATTTAACAGCAAGAACTCAGCTCCCCCTCTGTGTCTCTATAAACACTTAGCAATAGAAGTTTCATTTTAGAGATTTGCAAAATAAACATCAAATCCTAACTGTGCCAGCAGATGGTGACAGCAAAGATGTGGCATAGGACCTGAAAGTTCAAAAACTGTCAGTCAAGAGCTGTACAGCAGCAGCTGCAAAGAACTACAGTAATAGCAAACTGAAAATAATTAATTTAAAATCACACAGAATCAAAAGAGCAAAACAAAAACAGATACAGGTTTTCCTTTGAGTTCATGTTACCTTTCAGTAGCAGTTCAAGTTACCTAACAGCATTAAACATCCTGTTTAATCATTCTGCTTTAAAACTATTAAAACAATAGCTATGTCATCTTGGATGCTTATAACTCAATAGTAAATATATGTAGAGTGTTTCATAAAGATGTTTACTACGCCAACATGTTGTCCTGTAAGTCCATCTGAGCAATTGCATTCACCTCTAAAACTGGCATTAAGATGCAAAGCAGAAGCAGCAAAGGATATTGGCCTGAGTGATATCCAATATAGCTATTGTAGAACTTGTGTATATTCAGCTTTATCCAGCACTTATAAGTTAGTCTTTATTAAACATAGATTTATTGAAATTATTTTTAAGTGATTTTACACAGTATATATTCCATAGTTGTCCTGATATAGTTATATTAGTTATTTTTATTAAATGATGTCAAAGGCAAAAGAAATTTTATGTGCATTTATGAACTTCAAATGAAACATAAATATACCTACAAAATATTGGTATTCCAGTTCTCAATATTGAATTCTAAATAGAAATGAAAGACACAGTATAGGAGGGGAAAGCTTAAAATGCTTTGCTTGGCCATGAAGCTCCAATCTCTTTTAGATAATAAGCTTTCTATGAGGGTGAGTGAGTGGCCAACACTTACATATACAGGAGGAAATGAAAGAATGAGCAGGAACAATCTTTTGAACTGAGAAAACAGTGACAATAGTGTGAATTTGAGTCACTGCATTAGGAGGAATGCATTAGAAAAAAAACACAGAAAACTATTTTGCAAAAATTTAACATGTGAGAAATGGACAGAAATCCTTCTTTTGCTAATGTACATGTTTTTTTCTTGTGGAAAAAACTTGTATTCAGTATCAACAGTGACAACTCGTATTAGGATATTTGTCTTCCCTTGCAAAAGAAAAACTTTATCAACTGGGTTTAAGGGAGCAAATGTTCTCTTCTTGAAAGTGATGCCCAAAGCATCTAATAACCCTGCAAATACAAAACTAAGGGTTATATGAAGATATATGCTTCTGACATGTTTATATGCCTCATCGCATGTTATTCTATTTTTGCTTTCTCTGTTTAACATAAAGCCAGAGTAGATTAACTTCTACTAACAGGATTTTAAGAAAGAATCACAGGTTAAACAGTATATTGGTATACCTTGCAGAATTTTCAGCAGCTGATAAAGTGATCAGCTTAAAACACAAAGGTATTCCCTTAGTAGGATGCTCAGACCTTGGAAAAAAATACGATAATATCTCAATGACACAATAAAACTGAGAAATAATTAAGGAATAGTTGTTTCATTTTTATTTATTCTTAGTTATTTTCCTCTATTATGTACCTGTTATATCACACACTGTAATCAATCTGTTCAGATTCTTTGCTTATTTTGATTTTTTGGCTCTGCAGAACAGAGCCAAAAACATTTCACATTTGTGAAAAACTATGTTAATATAACCATAATTCAATAAAATGGAAAGGCAATTGCCTCTTTTTTGCCAAAAATACAATTTTTTTTTGTACTGAATTTGCTTTTTGTTGCTGGCAAACTAACTAAAATAATTTAAAATATAATCAGAAAGTTAAGACTTTTCCAACTGCATTTTAGCAAATATATTCTAAATGTTGGGACTAAATGGGTAAGACTAACATTTAAATCTAAACCTAGAGTTTCATTGAATAGCTAAAATAGTTCTAAAAAGTTCTTCATGGCATGACAGTCAGTATATTAAAAAATAATGTAAATCATAAATATGTGAGTTATAATGTATAGCAAAATCTTCAAGTAGTTGGCAGTAGTATATTTCTCATCCTCAGAAAAATCAGGTTTTGTAAGAGTGGCCTTCCATAATGCAGACTTCCCTAGAAATTACCAAGTATACTTTGGACTGAGAACTGCCCATTTTCAAACTCTTAGTGTTCAATGAGTAAAGATCAAGAGTGGAAGTGGTCTCGTACTCAGCAAAACAATGCACTTTACTGAGGAACAGTATAACCTCCAGGAGTTTGTAAAGGGTTAGCAGGAAAGCCAGGTTTACCTTTTCAAACTCATCTGTCTAACGATCACTCCCTCAGGAGATGATATTTGTTGTGCTCAGGTGAAAAGCAGTGAGGAGCTCCAAGAAAAGGAAACATTTCTGTTTCCTGTCCCATCATGGCATATCAAATACAGAAGTTGCAACCTTGAAATATTCTATTCTAACTTTGTTACTAAGAGATCTTATCCTTTTTTCCCCTGCAATTATGAAATTTTGCCTATGATAAGGCAAGTTTTATGTTTATTATTGATTGTGTATTTTGTTTCCACTATTAAATTATTATTTTTTTCAGCTATTTGTTACTATTCTATTAGATGGCATTACATGTAGTCCTCACATAGAGAAAACACAGTTTAATTGAAAATGTTGCCAATATTTAATTTCACATCTTAGCCCCTAAGTGTTCCTTTCACCCTTGTTAGGTCATACAAATTTTATTCCCCTCTTCTCTCACAGCCTTCCCTAAAAGCCTGTATGCTCTTTTCACACCATTTTTTGCACCACTTTCTTCACCATTATCAGACATATTAACACCATTCTCAAAGCTGCCAGTAGTCTCATCATTTCTATATAATTACCACTTTCTTATCACTGCTCTGATATATGAACTGTCAATTCCCAGTATATTCTAATAAAATCTCAGACAAAAGTAATTTTACAATATTACCTTTAACCAAAGCTGCTGTGTTTTGTGTAACAAGAAACTTTTCTAATCACTTCTTGTCTTTTCAATTTTATTACAACCTTTGAGATATTTAGCTAACAATGTAAGTGCTATAGAAACTTCCACAGGTAGGTTCATCTCTTTCCTCGTTGTAATGCTATTGGTCTGCCTTTCATGATAATTTCTGCTCTGAACAAGAATATACTCTCATAGGAATTCAAATAGGATTGGAGTCTTCACTCTAATTTGACAACTCCCTTCCTCCTTTGACCTTTAACAGTTAATTAAAAGACAAATATATATACATAAACATATACATATAAATATAAATAAATATGTGTATATAGCAGTGCATATACACATAAAAGCTCCTATTACATACTTTTGTACATCTTCTATCTTCTTGCACAATATAGTTGTTTATGAGTCTATATGTTTGCCCCTAAGAGCTCTGTCAGAATTTGTTGTATTTCTGCTTTTATCTACTTTTATATTGAATAAGATGACAATTCTTTTCCATATGATATACAATAAGTCATTGAAACATTTTCATCATAAACAGATAATATATTTAAAGTTTGGGTTAATCCTCATAGATAAAATACATTTGTAAAAAATAGTAAAAATAAAATTTATTTGTAAAATAAAAATCCTTATTCCTTGCCTATATATTATGTTATTGTCTACTGCATATCAGAAGATGGAAAATAACCTTACATTTGTGCATTCTTTTCTGACTTTTCAGAGATACTTTGTTCAATTCCAATGTAATGATATTTTATAGCTACCTAAAAGAGAAAACCCTAAAACAAGCATGAATAATGGTTACATCTTTAAAGTATAACAATCTAATTCCTCCTTCTATATTAAAGTAGGTGAGACGCAATCACAAGATTACAAATTGCAATACATAATTTAGTTTAATTTGAAAAAATTAAACATGAGCTTATTTTAACCAAAAAAACTTGTTCCCATATGCATATAGAGAAAGAATTGCTTCTTCGGAGGTAGTGTAACTCTGTAAAAAAAAAAACTAATAAGAAGTCTTCAGCTAGAAGAATGCACTGGCAATTCAAATACAGATTAAATGAGAATTATAAATTAAACCTCCCAAAAGTTTATTTTTCTTACCTGCTGGTTTACGGGGAAATTCCTGTTGATTTTTTTAATCTATGAAAATGAATAAAAAAGAAAGATTAATAAATATACTTAGTTTCTAGAATAATAAGTATTAGATTTTAAAGACACTGTGATTGCCAGACTTTATATGAATTGCAAACCCTTATCCCTTGCTTGTATGGATACTGATATGTCTGTAAGGTTTCCACTGACATTCCACAGCTTCACTATCAAAGGACAGTTCTCACTGGCAAGAGTATGCTGACAAGCTATGAATTTAAGTTGGCTTTTACATGTATTCTGATTTAAAAGTTCATAAAAATAAAGAGGAAGCATTAGCATTCCCAGGATACTCTGTGGATAAAATTGTAAAATATAAATTTGCATTTCAGCAGACACCAACTATATCTTATGGATTTTCTCAGAAGACAGGTAAAAAATATAGTTTTGTGATCGATATATAAAGATTTCAGGGCTTTGTGGATTTGTTCCTAAAATAAAATGAAATACATGAAATATTCTAGTATAATAAAATCCAGTCAGAACTAGTTCATACTTTTAAAATCATTGTCACAATTATTTATTTTCTTATACATGATAAATACTACAGTCAACACTGTGGAGAAAAAAAAAAAAAAAAAAAAAAAGATCTTACTTTCAAAAAATAAAAGTCCTTGAAGGCAAGATAGAGTCACATATGAAAAACTATGATATTGCAGCAAATGCATTTCTGTTTACACCATTTAGAAAGATTAACATTTTAATAGTTCAAAAGTACATTAAGAACCTTGTATACTTTCAGACACGTCTGGGAAATGTAATGCATCGCATAAATTTTGTTTTTTTCATTCACAAATTCCCAGTTCATTTCTGGAAGTAGGATTTAAGCTCCTATATTTGTTTTATCTATTTATTTTCTCCTATATCTGTTTTAACCACTGCAACTCTGAAGAATTAGAAAAATGACGGTTGTATTTCAAGTAACATGATATTTCAGGTAATATGATGATGATTTCTAAGTCTTGCTTAAAATACTTTTTTTTTTTTGCTTTCAGTAGAAATTTGCAAGTGAAATAACTAACAATATATTCCTAATTTTTGATAATATATTATTATATTGATAAAATATATAACTATAATAACTAATATTTATGAATTATTATTAATTCAAAAACCACTAAATGTTGACCAGATATTTATTTACTTACATTGATATTAGGTATTATATTTAGAAAACAACAACAACAACAAAACCCCTATAATTATGGACCAGACCTCACAAACATTTAAAATTAAATGATCCATTGTCCTGTGAACACTTACAGGAAAGCATTAACAAAAAGTGTTCTTCCTAACGTTGCAAAATGGACTAAGTAACATCTAATACACAGAAGATACAGACACATAAGAATGAAAATATAAAGTCAATTTTTTAAAAAAATTAAAATAGCAAAAATTATCTTCTATTACTTGAGACAGAATATTATCTAAAAGAGAAATCCTCCTTTGGTAATCCATTACCATTCCATTCATGCTAATGTTATTACTTATAAAACAGAAGAATAGCACACAACATTGTGTAAGAGATGCCAAATGAGTAAAATTTGGGATCTCCAGATGATTAAGAAACAGAAGACAGCTGTATGATACACTGAAGTATAAAGTAACAAACATATATGCACATAGTATTTTTTAAATCAAACACCTTGGCGGATATTGCACTAATAAAGAAAGTTCACTCTTATGAAACTCATTAGAAAGATGTTCCTACCATAAAAACTAGTAAAGAATCAGGAGAGTCACAAGAGATGTCAAAAGGAGAAGCTAGTAAAAAAAAAATCTGCTAGGAAGATACAGGAGACATTATGAAAGCTTATTTGATACTAGCAAGAACTAATTGCTTCTATTTTATCTTTAGAAAAGTAGGTGCTGAAGGGTTAAATTTTACTCTGATACAGCTCCCATTAATATATTTTAGAACAAAATACCTAAGAATTCTGTAGAGAATGTAGCTGTGGGCTTTTGAGATCACATAAACATAGGAGAAAAAAGAAAGGGTCAAAAATAAGGTGACTGCAATATGTTGCATCTGACTAGTTAATAGGCAAGTGATGTTGATAAGAGGAGAAGAGAGCAAGGGATTTAGTGGCTTAGAAGACTTAGTCTCTTAGAAGACTGGTTTGAAGCATAATTAATTTGTGACAGGGGTACGAAACTATATGACAAAATGTATTTCAAAAATTTTCCCACCTAGGCAAATATATTAGGACACCATGGCCAAAAAAAAACTCTAGCCAGGAAGATGACATGAAGTGATGCTAAGAAAAGAATGAACTATGGCCACAATTCAGTTAATTTTGTGCACCTGACATTCACATATATGGACAGTTTTCACAGTGACGACTATGACTTATCTGTAGAAGAAACAAAGAAATGACAGCACAGAGTACATCACTCCTTGGCAGGGTAAACTATGGGTCCAGTTTCATGTCTACATAACAACCACAATTTTTTTGTCTTTTATTGCCTGATGTCACAGAATGAGGAGGCCAGTGGAACTACCCTCTATATGAAGTTATGGAAATTGTTTCCTACTTCTGTCGTCCTCTGCCAGAATGCAGCTGATTAAGCCCATCAAAACACCATTTTAAACTTTTGCATTCGGCTGAAAAAGAGTGGAATTGTTCACTCGTCTGAGAGCTGCTATTTCAGACTTTCTTTAAGCAAATATCACTACAGGTTCTCATAGGAGGATTTTAAAGCATTATCCCAAAACCACTATTTATTAGAGGTTTGTCTGACCTTTTCTACATATTTATTTTAATGAAATTTGTTATTCCAGTGTAAACACAGGACCCTGAAGAGATGATAGGGAAATGTGTCTTTCAAGTGAGTACATACAGTCCTAAGAAATCTTAAGGGAAGTATGACCTAGAGATAAGGACACTGATTTCAAATTTTTCTAATTGAAAATAAATAAATAAGTAGAAGGTATCATATATGTGAAAACTCCTCTACTTGCTTTTATCCTACTTCCTGAAGAACTGTGTTCTAAAGTAAAGGCCCACAATTCTAAGGAGATGCTCAAGAAAGACATTTAATCTACAGTGAGGGGTGTCAAGTATTACAAGTGGCCCTTTGGAGCAAGCAATGGTATAACAGGTGTTAATTGCCAGGACAGAGTGCCATGTGGTTTACTGGATGGCAGTTCAACTCCCCTTTAGTTTCACCTATGATGTGTTCTACCTTTTGCTTGTAGCCTGTTGCTCTGAAGATTATTTTATGCATTTCATTTCTTCTCACTTAGATTAATTAAAAGCTAAATAAAATATATATTTTGACAAGAATGTAAATTTATGAACATAGTTAATCAATATAAGTTTTTAATATTATCTCATACACTAAAGCATCAAAAGAGCTCAAAATATTAGGATGCTAGGCAACTGCAAACAGGTAGTGAGATCATTACCTCTGGAGTAATTTGTAGAAAAAAAAAAAAAAAAAAAAAAAGGTTTTGTTTAAATTAGACCATATTCCTCACAGAATCACACAGAATGACAGAATGGCTAAGGTTGGAAGGGACCTCTAAAGATCATCTAATCCAATCTTCCTGCTCAAGCAGGGATGCCTAGAGCATGCGTCACAGGGTGGCATCCAGGTGGATTTGGAAGGTCTCCAGAGAAGGAGACTCCACAACCCCCCTGGGCCAGCCTGTTCCAGGGCTCTGTCACCCTCACAGGAAAGAAGTTCTTCTTCATATGGAGATGGAACTTCCTGTGTTTCAACTTACACCCATTGTCCCTTGTCCTGTCACTGGTCACCACTGAGAAGAGCTTGGCCTATTCCTCCCTACATTCCCCCTTCATGAACTTATACATGTTAATCATATCCCCTCTCAGCCTTCTCTTCCCCAAGCTGAACAGGCCCAACTCACTCAGTCTCTCCTCATATGAGAGATGTTCCAGTCCCTTAATTATCTTTGTTGCCCTCCGCTGGTCTCTCTCGAGAAGCTCCATATCCCTCTTATAATGGGGAGCCCAGAACTGCACACAATACTCCAGGTACAGCCGCACCAGAGCTGAGTAGAGGGGCAGGATCCCCTCCCCTGACCTGTTGGCAACATCCTCCTGATGCAGCCAGGATCCCACTGGCCTTCTTGGCCACGAGGGCACACTGCTGACTCATGGTTAACTTAGTGTCAACCAGGACTCCCAGGTCCCTCTCTGCAGCTGTTCTGCAACAGGTCAACCCCTAATCTGTACTGGTGCCTCGGGTTATTCCTCCCCAGGTGCAGGACAATGCACCTGTTCTTAAGAGGTTCCTCTCTGCCCAACTCTACTCTGCCATTCAGGGGGAGCCTTTCCAGGTCTCCCTGAATGGCAGCACAGCCCTTCGAAGTGTTGGCCACTCCACCTAGCTTGGTATCATCCACAAACTTGCTCAGGGTGCACTCCGTGCTCTTGTCCAGGTCACAGATGAACAAGTTGAACAGCACTAGGCCCAGTACTGACCACTGCGGGGCACCACTGGCCACAGGCCTCCAACTGGACTCGGCCCCATTTATCACCACCCTCTGAGCTCTGCCATCCAGACAGTTCTCAATCCACCTCACTGTGCATTCATCCAGAACACACTCCCGGAGCTTCCATATGAGGATATCATGGGAGACGGTGTTGAAAGTCTTGCTGAAGTCAAGCTAGACAACATCCATGGCTCTCCCCTCGTCGAGTCAGCCAATCATCCCATCATAGAAGGCTATAAGGTTCGTCAGACATGACTTCCCCTTGGTGAATCAATGATGACTACTCCTGCTTCTCCTTGACATGCCTAGAGATGCTCTCTAGGATGAGCTGCTCCATCACCTTTCCAGGGATGGAGGTGAGGCTGACCGGCCTGTAGTTGCCCAGCTCCTCCCTCTGCCCTCTGCCCAGATGGGAGTGATGTTGGCTCTCTTCCAGTCTTCCGGCACCTCCCCTGCTCTCCAGGACCTCTCGAAGATGATGGACAGCAGCTGAGCAATAACCTCCGTCAGCTGCCTCAGCACTCTTGGG